ATCCACTGTTCCCCGGTGAAATCAAAACAAAATCATTTTGCATTACAAAATTGAAGATTCATTCTTCAAATTATTGTCTTACGGTTTCTACTAGTGAAAAAAAAAGTATATTAATCAGGTTTGTGAAGCCAATTCCAGATTTTGCGGGTTAGAGCCCTCGACATTGCGCGTCTCTGGTTCTTCTAGAATGATTGTCTTCACAACCTTGGGTAATAAAATAATATACCACAAAACACATACCAGTGTTATAATGATAATATAACATATTTCAACAACAATTCAAACTTTAATATCTCGTCAGATATTTATTCTTTAAAACTGAAATAATTGATATTTAAAAATTAAATCCAATTTTGATTTTTATCTCATTACGGACCGTCTTTACGTTTTACACATTACTGCAATGCAATTAATAATATTTTTGTATTTAGGACATTACTTAATTACAACTAAAAGAAGTTCACTACTAAATCAACAAAACATTTCAGACAGTCATTTTAATTCATTGAAAACAGTTTCGGTTAAATTAACTTAAAATGTTCTTAACGTAGTGTAGCAGGGTTATTTTTTTTGTTTATTTTGATCCTATTATATAAATGTTTTTCTGTTCATCTTCACCAAGAATCGCGTGATGTAAATGTAAAATTTTTCTTAGAATTTATATTGATTTCAAAACTCTTTCTGATCAGTATTTTTTAAATCTTAGTGACTTCATAAACTTGTGTAATATCGAATTGCACCGTTGTTAAAAATAAATTAGTACGTATAAGGTTGATGTCAGCTTCTATGATGTTTTTGTTACACAAAAATTTCATGTGTTTTTTGTTGCAGTGGGTTCGTAAATGAAGATGAGGGAATTCGCTAAATTGTAGCAGAAGAAGCCTAAAGGTTAGAATTTTGCATTAATTTTATTTTGATTGTTGTATTTTTTTAACATATTTTTATCTTTTATGAAGGCTATTTTGATCGGTAATTTTGTCTTATTTCTGTTTTTTCAAACATTTTTTGACGTCTTTTTCTTCCATATTTTTTCAGTAGTTTATTTTATTTTTTTTATGCACTATTTTTCTTAGGTGCGCATATTCAGACAATTTTTTCCTTTCGATTTTTCTCTTATATTATTAATTGTTTATAACCGTTTATTTAGAGTTTGATTTTGTTCACAAGATTTTAAACATTTCATTAAACTATTCTTATTTCATAAATAAGATAAATAATAGGAATTAATAATAAAAGATAATTCTTTTTTAGTAGTTAATAAGTTAACTGAAGGAATTTTATTATCTATTTTTTCCTCTCTCTCATTATTATTCCCTTGCCCCTGAAGTACAATAAAACATACCTAGCTTTTTCGAAAACTTCAAAAATTTGATTTTGCAAATTTTATTATTTTTAAGAACTCCCGTAAGTTAAAATGAAGATATGTATGCACTGATAAAGTAAAAATAAAAAAAGTGCTACGTATATGTTTTAAGGGTCCCCAGTCGTCGCCCGCAAAATCGGTTTCAGTGAGAAGAATTATTTTTGTAACTATGCAACCCAAAGTACCGATCCACCGCAGGTACCGACCCAAAAACACGAGAGATTATGGTCACTGTAGGGAGTCCGTCATAAAATGTAAATCGGTAAACAACACCAGATAAGCTTATTTATTTTCAAATGAAGGGTACAGGGCAATAACCATCGAAATCCATTTGTATGTATTTTGAAAGAAATTGAGTGGAAAGTTTAAAATGCTGGGGAAAATAGATTGAGAAACCCACAAGGTTCAGTCTAACACAACTTTTTATTTTCTTTATAATGTTTTAAAAATATATAAAATAAACTGTTTATGTTCAAATATAACAGCAAAAAAAATTGGTGGAAAGTTGTTTGGACAGAACTTCCCTCGCACCTAAAATACAATGAAACATATCCAGCATTTTCGAGTTAAACTTTTACTTTAGGTACACAATTTTGTTATGAAATCATCAACATTTTGGAAGGACACGAAAATTAATGTGGATTAGATTAAAAATAACAGTATTCCCAAAATTTCTGGGAAAATGGAGTGAGTCGTTCCTGATTTAATCAATATCAATAAATTGACTCATTCATTAATTTTTTTGAGCCACCTAGGTATATAAGCAAATCTAAAAAATATGAATGCAATGATAAATTACAAGTAGAAACTCATCATATGTATTTTGCACATTTTTAGTAGAATTTATTCGGCAAAATTTTGAGATGACGTTATCAATTTTTAGTAGCATAATCCTGAACTTGTGGTTTATAAATACGTTATTAACATTTTTCGGCTTTTCGGTTTTTCGATTTTTCAACTTTTGATGTTTCAATTTTTCAGTATTTCAATTTTTGACATTTTCAGTTTTTCCATTCTTCAAATTTTCGATTTCTCCATTTTTTTATTTTTCGATTTCTCAATTGTCCGATGTTTCAATGATACGATTTCGCAATTTTTCAACTTTTCGATATTTTAATTTTTCAATTTTTAAAATTCTATTTTTTTCGATTTCTCGAGTTTTTAGTTCTTCTATACATATTTCAATTTTTAAATTTTCGGAATTCATTAAATTTCTGATTTTCCATTTTTTTTTAATTTTTCGATTTTCCAGTTTTTCGATGTTTTGATTTTTCAATTATACGATTGTTCAATTTCTCGATTTCTAAATTTTATTTTTTTTTTTAATAAAAGTAAAAAATAACTACCAAAATTGTGTGTGACTAAAAATATGTAAAAATTAATAGAAAGTAGAACACATTGCTGTTAAAACATAAAAATAACTGTGCTTTCCCAAAAAATTCTATTGCATGATTACTGTTCCACTAGTATTGCTAATTTAGGACGTTAGTATCAAACGCAATGAAAGTATTAACTCTTAGTTAAACAAAAAAATAGTTGCGTGTCAAAATCGAGTGAAACATGTGAGATGTGTGTAAACAAAAGCATCTAAATAATAACTATTTTCCGCAGAATTTCTGGAGGCCTATAGAGTCGACATTGGCCTGAGCGCGTTCCGGTCTGTGGATCATACAAGTTCTCGGGCAACGATGTATCTAACGGGGCAGTTGAAATATGATATATGTCACAGTGCAAAAAGTATTTCTCAAAAAACTTTCAAACGTTGATGTCTTTTTAATTGAACAAAACACAATTGGCGAACGCAATAATCCAGAATGGTGCGCAGAAAAATCCGAAAGTTATTTTGGTAAAATTTGCAAAATGAGAGAACAAGTAACACGGCTAATCCTACTGTACTGTGAAAAACATTTTACATCCCTGCAAATCTAGTTCAGGATGTACTCTCCCAAAATCTTTGCATAGAAAGTGAAGCAAGGGCAACTGCAGCATTTTGCAGTAACACCAAACTGACAATATGACAATGCGATTTGTACATTTTTAGCGGCATCGCCAGACGGCTTAATAAACAAAAACGCTATGGTAGAAATACATATATAAAATGTCCGATTTAAATAATGCTTCATTCAACGAGATGATAAATTTTGGGAAAATAATATGATAGAGTCCTAGAAAAATTGTATTTATATGTCTTACTTCCGGAGAGAGTAGATTCTCGTTATTAAACAAGTCAACCCATTAAACAAATTGTAAAGAAAAAATTGTACAATTAAAATTTTTTATTTGCATTCGCGTCATGTGTAGTTCATATAAATCTTTTGCCCTTCTAGTATAAACACACACAGGAATAAATAGTAATATTGGAATAGGTTTACTGGAGATATCACGTAAAAAACGTGCCTATAATACTCTACCTCATAGGTGGTGCGGAAAAGAGTATCAAAAAATTAAATTTAAATAAATATGATTGTTCAGGTAAATAAGTGGTTAGTGAAGTGATGGGAATCTAAATCTTGTCAGTTTTGTGTATTGATTAATATATAAAATGACAGATTAATAAAAAATATTTGAATAATTTTTTGAAAGAAAATATTTTAGTAGAATGTATACAATTATAAAAATCTGCATACTTGTAAATCAAATTATGTCAACAATGAAAGAAGTCGACTTGTAAACGAGTTTCAACAATGTTGGTAAGCTAAGAGTATTTATGAGTTTTATGACCCAAAGTACCTGAACTGATTACCTGAAAGGGATCTTTGTAAATAGGGTTGCCTAGTTTCACTTTATTTTCATTATTCAGTATTTTTTTAAAAAGCAAATATTTTGATAAATATAAATTTTAAACAAAAATGACCGGGTCTTCCCCATTGAGCTCAATGTTGTCTTTGCACTGATATAAAAGTTGAAGCGAAAAATGCTGTCTCCGCGTCTAAAAATGCAATTTCCTTCGAAGAATGAACGATTAATTAAACACTAAACAATCACTTATTTTAAAAAATATTGTGTCTTCCCCAGAGATTTAGACATAATCTATCAATTAAAATGTCGATTTTTTTTTTCAAAGTTGAAATTACGCCCGTAAATGAAATTGTATTTAACTCATTTTTCGGTCTGCTACTGGGCACCCTTTTAAGTGAGTTTTTCCATTACAAAAGTTTGTGATCATGTCATCAACATTTTTGCAAGGACACTATCAATTTGGATCGTTGCAGTGTAATACTAATAAGAACAATATTGTATTTCTAAAATTTCGAGAGTATGGAGTGAGTTATTCTTGATTTAATCAATAAAATAAATTTCTGATTTGTTAAAACTATCGCGCTAACCAAAATTTATCTAATCACCTCCAACAGCAATTAAATGACGTAAACTCTTTTTTCATATTTACGTTTTATAACATAACATACTCCTATATTTATGGTTTATGAGTCTGCCTTGATTTTTATCACATTACTTTATAAACATTTTTGTGCGCATAACTGATATTTGGGTTACGTGTCTTTATGTCTGAACTCCGACGTTATTGAAAAAATAATTCAATCTGAATGTAAGTATCTGTAAAATTTACATTTTCTGCTACCTGACAAATAAAGGCGATCATTTAAATTTAACATGTCGATTAAAAATTGCAAAAACACATGAAATCAAAATATTTATTACTTACAATAAAAACTTAAACCCCTATATGTAAACATGAACTCCACGCTTTTGTATTAACTTGTTTTAGTATGGTTGTTAGTGATGACCCTGGACCACACTCAAAGGTACGAGGAAAATATTCATCTTGGGTCCTTTCATATATCACATGAAGAGTTTGTTCCCATTTTACTGGTTTAACAATCTATTGTAAAAATAATTAGTTTCCAATGCAGAAAAATAGCATAAACAACCTTTACCTGTTTGGGCAACTGTTTTTTTATGTGCGCTGCGTTTTTGTATCTTTTACCATCTACATTTGAATATACACTTATTACTGGATCTTGTATTTCTGTCTTATTTAAAGCTTTTCTAAACGGTTCCACTGCTGGTAACATTAAATCAGAATGAAAACCTCCACTGACAGGTAATTTCTTGACTCTTCGAAGATTGTATTCTTTGGCATTTTTTTCCAGATAATCAAGAGCCTGCAGAAATTGTATTAATAAACTTTTAACTAAATGTAGTCAAATAATTACTGATATACTCCCAGCTACAACTTTACAGTGTGGATATAAATAATTGGCTATTCGACACTCTGGAAATAAATCACCTTTATCTACGGCCCATTCTTTGGCTTTCAATAATGCTTGATTTAATTTAGAATCAGGACCATATATTACTGTAACCATCCCTCCTTGATAAGCTTCACTAGCTAACTGCATTGCCTCTCCTCGTATTTTAACAAGCTGTAGACCTAAAAATTATGCAACTATTTATTACATCTACTTCTTTTACCATTAGTAAATATTACCTCGTTCAAAACCAATAGCTCCTGCAAAAACTAGTGCTGTAATTTCCCCTAAACTAAACCCTGCAGTTCCCGTACAGTTAAGTATAGCATTAGGCCTTTCTTCTTTTAGTCTTTCAATAGCTGCTAAAGAACTAACCATTATTGCTGGTTGACAATATTGAGTTTGATCCAATTTTTCCTTAGGACCTTCTTGGCACAACTTCAGTAAATCATACTTAAGAATATAATTGGCCAATTCAAATAAGTCTCGAGCCATTGGAAATTTCATTAACTCCTTAGTCATACCAACAAACTGACTACCTTGTCCAGGAAATAAAATTATTGATGTTTCCCGTGGATCTTGTTTCGGTTTCTCTGCGAAATATTCGCCTTGTTTCCGAATCTTCGCTTCTTGTGGATATGGTAAAGTGGCCCATCGTTGTTCTTCGTTTTTTATTTTCAAGTCCTCAAATGATGCTGAATCATCTAATAGTTTTTTCAAAGGAGATTCCTCGGGTTTGCCTTTATTTTCACACAGAACCTTATTAGAATTATAAATTGTTCTTTGTACAGAATGATGAATAAATTCTGTAGTATCATGTGTGAGCAAAATATTTTGCCCGAATGCTTTTCCAGTAGATCTAGTAATTAATTTATATAAACTCATATTAAAACAATTTAAAAAAATGCTTCACACTTTTAAACCCATGAAACCGAAAACATAACCTTAAACTTGTGCATCAAATTTACAGGTTATGTCGGTACATGTCCAACATTTGGGGTCCAGGTCGTTAGTTAAAGTCACTAACTCAGACTAACCAATGGCAAGTTTAGTTTAGTGTCACGTGAGCCAAATTGGTTATTGTGATTGGTAGCACAAATGCGACTTCAAAACGAGTCCCTTGTACTATTAATCAGCTGTCAACTTCACGTGTATAATGTTATCATTATCAAAGTTAAACAAAATTTTATGATAGGGGTAGAACGTGTTGCCAGTACGATTCATTGTTTTGTATTTACGCGATTTATCCTTTTACGAGCTCATACCCAATTTCGAAAACACGGTTTGTGATATAATTTTATATTTATCAACATTGGATACCCACCCAAAACAAACAAGAAATGACTAATACTCAGGATACTGACATAAACTCGGAAGAAGATTTATATTATTTTGAAACAGATCACTTGGCTTTAAGAGGAAACAAAGATTACAGTGAAGTACTGAAAAATTTACTTATTTTATGTGCTCAGAGGAAACAAGCCATTAAAGTAAGTCTTCATACGGTTACTATTATAGTTTATTAACTAAATGTGACAAAATTAGGATTACAATAAGGCTGTCGAATTGAAAAAAGAAGCTCTTGCAGACCCTTCGAAAGTACTCGAAAAAATTGTTAAAGGAGAATCACTAGGAATGCCAGATATACATCATATACCAGAAGTATATATGTTTTAATATTTATGGAATTTTACAGCTTTTATAGTTGATGTTTTAGTTACCAGTGATTGACTGGTCAAAATATGATGTTAAAATACCAGAAGATAGTTTAAAACTTATATATTCAGATGTAAATGAGTCTGTGAAGAAAAAAAATGAAAGCCCTAAAAAAGACACTAAAATTTCAAATAAGGTAATATTTAGTTTTACGTATTTAGGTAAGAGATAATAAATATTTCATTAGAGGTGGACAACTGAAGAACAGAAACGTTTAGAAGAACTTTTACAAATATATCCTCCAGAACCTGTAGAAATGAGGAGGTTCAAAAAAATTGCAGATGCCTTAGGTTTAGCCGACAATTTTGCTTAAAGTCTGGATAACTTATTTTTATTTTTTAGGTAATAGAACGCTTCAGCAGGTGTCAAGTAGAGTACAAAAATATTTTTTGAAATTGTACAAAGCTGGTTTACCCATTCCTGGTAGAATACCAAAATCTGCAGAAAAATATAAGGTAATTAAGTACTTTTTTCTCGCAAGTAGAAAATATTCTTCTGGATACTGTCAAATTGACACTACAAATCGCGCAAAAAAAGTTAAAAAACATTAACCTAACACTTTTTTTAATTGTTTTATTCATTTATTTATAGTAATATGTATTAACAATTTGATGCGTATTTGTCAACAGAAAATTGCAAAGTTAGTCAAAATACCAAATAATAAAAAAACGACTTCTAGTCAGCTATGGAATTATTTTTTATTTCCCGAGCGTAAGCAAAGGAAGTATTGTAATCGAGTCCGTCGGCCGACTCTCTACTTTTACGTTTTCTCGATCTTTCATGACCCCTAGAATACGAAGAAATAGGTCTCCTATTTCCGTCTGTCTGTCCGTCCGTCTGTCCGTCTGTCTGTCCGTCTGTCTGCCGTCCCGGATTTTTATTAGACAGATAATCTCCGAAAGTACTGGGCCGATTGTTGTCAAATTTTGCATTTATATTAGGTATATCATGTAGATTGTAAAACGCTAACCATAATTTGTCTAAACATCCCCACCACTAATATGATGACGTCACTTTAAAATTGTACATAGTAATTGGGTTTTAAATTGTATCAAATAACATAGTCTTACACATGTAGTTTATGACTCCCAATTGAGATTTTACCCGAAACGTCCAGATTTTTGGAAAAAAAATCAAAGTGAGGAAACAACATTTTGACATTTAATTTGGAACCTACAAAACCGAATGATTTGAAATCTTGGAGATGGTTTACAGTTATGATAAGCATGATAAAGTTTTAATCACAATATATTTACTTATCCCCTCCAAAAAATTGATCACGTCAGCTCAAAGGTTGCCGAGTAAATCCTATCTAAAATGTACAAAATATTGTGATTTATCTTTCCATTCATATTTTTTGGATTTGCGTATACAGGGTGACTCAAAAAATTAGTGAATGCGTCAATGTATTTTATTGATTAAATCAGACACTATAAAACCAAATGCTTTGAAATTTTGGAGATGTTTTAAAGTTATCATAAACATAGTAAATTTTTGTTCAAAATGGTATTTGCTCATCCCCCCTAAAGAATTGATGACGTCACCCCAAAATTTTGCTGAATAAATCCTATCTAAAATGTACAAAATATGATGAGTGTGTATTTGTAATTTATCATTCCATTCATATTTTTTTGATTTGCGTATACAGGATGACTCAAAAAAATTAATGAATGCGTGAATTTATTTTATTGATTTAATCAGGAACTGCAAAACCGAATGATTTGAAATCTTGGAGATGGTTTATCATAAGCATGGTAAATTTTGATCAAAATGTATTTCCTCATCCTCCCTAAAAAATTGATGACGTCACCCCAAAATTTTTCTGAAAAAATGCTATCTTAAATGTGTAAAGAATGATGAGTCTGTACTTGTGATTGATCACTGCATTAATATTTTTAGATTTGCTTCTACGGGGTGTCTGAAAAAAGCTAATGACTGAGTCAATTAATTTTATTGATTAAATCAAGAATTGCAAAACTGAATACTTTGAAATCTTGCAGACGTTTTAAAGTCATTGTAAGCATGGTAAACTGTTAATCCAAATAAATCTGTTTATTTCCCCCAAAAAATTGATGACGTTATGTCAAAATTTTGCGGAATAAATTCTACCCAAAATGTGCAAAATATGAGTTTTTACTTGTGATTCATCATAGCATTCATATTTTTTATTGATCAAATTAAGAACGAGTCATCCCATTTTCTCGAAAATGTGAAAATACAAACGTCTCTATTTAATAAGAATTATAATAATGATATTCAGAACATTTTGTCGATTGTAGCTTACTAGTTAATTGTTTTGTTCCTCTGTTTTGAGCGGTCGAACTTAGTCAAATCAAACTAATTTCTACATGACATTCTTCCGATGTATAAACATAAACACTTTCAAGTTGTTTTTCTTATCGAGGATAATCAATTTTACAGTAATGGAGTCCATTGATAAATTTGGTACTCGTTTCTCGATATTTCATAAGGCCGTAGCTAGGGGAAGCTAGGGGACACTCCCCTAGTTGTAGACAAGTTATAATTAACCAAATGTGAATTACAGCATCCAAAAACCAAATAAAATGTAGTGTTTTATTCAATAAACGGAAGTCACACCAATAAAAAAGTCTGGACCGTCGCATTGTCATCCGGTTATTGCAATTCGTAGAAACCATGTTTTAGTTTCGTTTGTATTTCACCGTCATGTCTACAGGTTGATAAGTGTTATGGCTATTTGTCTTAAATTAAAAGTACTATACAGGGTGTTCATTTTATCTGTTCACACCTGACAATTTTTGCATAGGCAACATACATATTATACACCCCAGAGACGACTTCGTGCATTTTAATTTTTTTTTTAATACGCAATTATAGCAATCACAGAAAAAAAATAACAAAAATGTCAATGCCAAATAATGATAAAACTGAAAAAATTAATTCAATTTATTTTAAAATGTCCCGCTGCAAAAATGTAATGGGAAAAAAACAATAGGCATGCAGTCGTCACGTTTCCTAAACTCTTTAAACCATTTTTTTAAAAATTGTGTTGGCAGTCTACACTGTCACATTTGTTCGTTTTTGAGGTTATGGGAAATGAATATGAAATTCTTCTATGCATCGCATTAGAGATTTGGACCATCGACAGTTTTCTTGTTTAACTCCATTTCGGTAATAATTTTGGATAATAAAAATTGCATGTTCTGTTTTAAATATTTTTTTATTACACTAACAATACCAATGTCAAACTAACCGATAACTCGGGTTCTCTAACTTCAATGAGAAATAATAGTACTGCCACTACTGTTTGTTAAAAAGTAGATTCCATGGCTGACTAGACGAAGTTTTTTTTTTCGACCATAAAGAGATCAATTGCAATGAAATCTTTGAATTTCTGGTGTTGTCTTAATTTTTTTTTTATTTTGATTATGTTATTGCAGAGAACATTACTGCACAAACACCAGCGACACAACCATTATCTCTGGAAACCGACCACTTTTTTTCCTGATTTATGTGTTCCCGTTGTTATGAATGACTTAGAAAGTGTTCCTGGACCTAGCTCAAAAGTTCCTGAGGAAACTCCCCAACAGTCTTCTAGTTCTAATTATTTAATTCCTACTGGATATCACGAAGAAGGTGACTTCCATCCACAGAAAAGTGAAACTGAATTACAACTAGAACTATTAAAAAGAGTTAAAAAAGTTAAAATAAAAGATGAAGAAAATGCCTCAAATTTACATAATCACGTTGGTTTTAAGGTATTGTCATATATACTTATTTCTTGATTATTATTTGGCTAAAAATTTTATTTACAGTGTGATTTATGCGGGGAAGAACCAATTGTTGGTACTAGATGGCATTGTAACACATGTACAAAAGACTCGATTGATTTTTGTACAGATTGTGTTTTGACTCAGATGTATTCCGAGAACTGTCATCCTTTAAAGCACAACTTAGTTTCATACAGCGATAAAGAAAGCAATCATTATTTCAGTGATTCCGAATCGAATGCTGGCAGCGGTGTGGCCAGTGTGAACAAAAACAACGAAAGTAGTGACAGTAGTGACAGTGAATTTAACATGGAAGATGTGAATGATGAGCAAATGAGCGAAGACGACACTGAAAAGATTAAAGATCATGTTATCTCCAACGGCGTGGAAGAAGACGCCGGGAGTAGTGATAAAATTTGTGATGATAATTTCAGTGATTTTCCAAAGCTAGACTTTGGAAACTTTAACAACGCCGAAGAGTTGTATGAATCTGGTTTAGGGTCGGATCTGTTTAGCGAAATTGAGAATATTTCGTACGACTATCTACACTCAAATCTACTTCTTGACAAAGAGTAACTTAGTGCGTAATTTGGTCAGAGTTTCAGAAGCGTGTTTTGTATTCGTGTTCGAATTAGAATAAACTTTGATTTTCATTTTGTGTTTTAACTTTTTTTGTTTACAAACTTTATAACTAATTCAGGTATTGCAGATAAACATTCACATGAACAATGACAAAGAGAGAAAAACTCACCTTTTGGATGCGGACTGGTCACTGGACCCATGCGTTTATTCGGATTAAAATTAGAAGCAAAATTTAAGTATACCACATTTTATAGGCAACAATGAATAGAAACAACGTTCAAATAAGCATCAACTTTAATTAAAGATAACATCAAGATGAAGTTCATCAAGTTAATATACATCCTGGGCGGAATCCTTCTTATGTTAAAAACAAAGTACATGTGAAATAAACACAACAGACACATAATACAAACAGTCAAAGTCAATATAAAGTAGTCTTAGTAAACGCTTCGCCATGGAGAGGTGTTGCTTCAAGAATAAATGTTCGAATTCAAGCTGTGGGAAAATAATATACAAATGATAACATACAATAAATATAAAATACCGGTTCCCGTTTCGAATCCACAATGTTAATTTAACTGATGAGAACTTTCAAGCAATGAAACGAAGATATACTTGTTGACAAAATTTAAATACATAATCCTTTTTACACACGTGTTTTTACTAGCACCATAAAACGAGAAATTCTTCCAAAACTTCCTAAACTAACAACCTAGAGGCGACATTCCGCCAAAACCGTCAATGTGTTACAACATGAAAGATTGTCTAAGATATGGGAATGGCTTTGGTGTTCAAATACAATTTCACGACATTTTTTCGGCGAGAAATTTAATTTTCAAATCGGGACCCCACAAAATGGAATTTTAAATTTCTTTTTGTGTGCTTGAAATTTGTTAATGAGCAGAAAAAATGTATCTTCATTTGTATTATTCGCTTTAAATGAATACATTTAAATTTTGTTTTTTATTCGCGGTACTTATAAAAATATGAAATAAAATTTAGTACGACCAGATAATCACCTGCATATTGTTAATGTATCGCTCATAAAATATAATCTAATATGAATGAGATAATATAAATTTTTATCTGACAATAAGCGGTAATTAATACACTTAACATTTTATCGATGACTCAAAAAATGGCGCTGATTGATAATAGCATGTCAAAACAATTCTGTACATGCTGTAAAATGCAATAAATTACAATCACCTTGACAACGCAACAACGCCCTGATACTTCGCACTAATGATAAAAAAATAAACACATCTGTTATAACATTTTGGTACAATTGGTAAATTATTGGTAAAATGTGTAATACATTATAGTCGTTGTGCCTCCAAAGATTAACAGATTTCGTAGAAATACGGACAGACTTTCCATCATTTATTCGTACAAATTATCAAAGTATAAATAAGGGGTTTTGAATTGTTGGTTGCGCTGACAATGTTGATGATACATACAAAGACTCAAAAAAATATGTCAAATGGGGTGATACCATTTTAAATCAATCGAAATAAAGTTTCTGAAGTTTGTATTGTGACTATCTGTTGTGCGGATTCATTTTTTAGTGGACTTAAATATTTTATAATCTTTATATTTTGGTCATTTTTGAATGCTTTAAGAATGTGGCGATCAAACTATATCAATTTCATTCTAGAGCACAGCAAAATTACCCATAGAGGGCGTTATAGCACGAGCGGAGTTTGGGTACTCCTGGTTGTGGTTGTTCTCCCCCCACGACGGTGATTCTATTCTATCAGCAAGTACATGCCACCCAGCACTCCTTTATTACCAAGAACCGTGCCGCGTGAAACAGACCGTCACGGTCACAAACTCGTGGTTGGGTCCCGGCTATCGGGCCAAGCCGACAGCGTCACGTCATCCCGACCGCCCCTGACTTCTATTCTAAATCTGCGTCTTTTGTACAGACGGCGCGACCGCCAGCTCGAGAAGGAACCGCGCATTCCGCTTCCGCCACGTGTTTTTGTGTTATTTACCTCAATTCCATTTTAAATGTTCACTTTATATAACTCTGATATTAAACTACAACTGAATTTAAATTCGTCATACACTCTCGTGAAATTTGAAACAGCAAAGAATTCTTATCTGAAATTAAGGTTGGATATCAGACAGTTTATATGATGGAAACATTAATGAACAAAATATTTACATGCTAAAAAACTAGCAAAGATATATTATAAAAACAAAAAAGATCTGGTGTGACATAAAATTTGTGTAGGCAAAAATATTAGGTGAGGTTGGGAAATTTACGTTTGATTTAAATTATACAACAAAGAAAATTATTGAGGCTAAAATTGTGAGATAGAGAAAAATTGCAAAGCTAACAAAATTACATGAGTTTAATATTTGCCACACTTTATTAACGATTCAAACAAAGAATTTACATTATGTTAAATTATGCCAACTTTATCAACGATTCAAACGAAGAATTTGCATGATGTGAAATTATGCCATGAGCCAAGTGACTGACTGGTTACTGAAAACAATTAACTTTGGGAGTTTAGGTATATCGACTGTCCCCAGCTTATCCCAAATAAAACACGTGATAAATAAACAGAAAATGCATCCAGCGTTGCAAGGAATATGCGTCTCGGTGATACAGGTTTCCACGTTGCGAGAAAAATGCCTAAGGGGAAAAAATTTAATTCCCCCGACCCTCAGTTCACGATATTATGAATTCTACCGCATTTTCCACGGTCTTTTTCCTAGAGTGGGACAACGTTAGGTTAATTTAACTGCCGTAAATAAACTAACAATTTTGTGTGAGGAATTAAGAAGTGTTATAATGTATAATTATCCAGAAACCTTTTATATAACTTGATAAACAAAGGATGAGTCCTGATTAAGTGAATTTCATAAAATCTCTTAGCAAGTGCTTTATCTGAACAAATCTTATGACTGTTAAATTGTGTTCGAACCAGTAACGGTTAAAATCCTAACATGAACTGTGAATTTACAAATAATAAAACAAATTTACACCACGTGTTAGCGTCGGTCGAAAATCCGCATATTTAGGCTTGGAAAAACCGCAAGAATTAGCTACGCGTGTTGGGGAAACTGTGGCATCGTCATCGTTACGATTAATTTTTGTTAAACAAAGGTTTCTCCCTTTTTCTAACTACCAAACTAACTAAACTTAACCTAGCCAGCTTTCCGCGTGCTTCCGTTCACACAGAACAAACAATAGTGACGCGCTACCTACCCTCTACCAAACAAGTAACTTCACGACCAACCCTCTCACTAGATACCACAAACAAATTCCTCTAGGAAAGTTATCAACTACCCAAAAAGAACTAAATGTGCACATGGTTGCCTATGTTTAGCGATTTTCTTGATTGAATTTTTTTCAAATTTAAATTATTCAAATGCGATTTCGCGCCGTTGTTTTTTTTTCAGCGCGAAATTTTAATTCAAATCTGGTCACCACAACATCTATTTATCCCCTCCAAAAACTCGACGACATCATTTCGAAATTTTGCTAGATAAATCCTGTCTAAAATGTGCAAAATAGTATTATGCGTTGTGATTTATAAGGGCAGTCATATTTTTTAGCACTATTTATACACGATGACTCAAAAACGTTAATAAATGAAACAACTGATGTTACGTATTAAGTCAAAATTCTGAAAACATTGTTGTTATTTGTACAACACTATTTGTCTACACTAAGAAATTGACGAGGTGATCACAAAATTTTATTAAGAAAAAACTCACTTGAAACATACGTATAGCAATGCTTTTTTACCTGTAGTTTAATAATTCACTCCTATTTTTATTTTAACTTATAAGGGGTAACATAAAAGACTAAATTGATAGAATTAAATTTTAGACAACATATTGTTACGTTGTACGGGTGATTGAAATCCGACGTGGGTAAAACTCAACAATTTATTCCTTACTAACTCGAATATACACGATTAACTATTACAGCGATTCTGTACAAACTATTTCCGACGCAACTTGGTTGGCTCTTCTTAACACTCGCTAGACTCGTAGTTTGACTGAATAATCCTCTTTCCCGAAGGTGTACTCTATTTCAGGGATGTTGCGAATATTCGCATCCGCATTCGCAAATGCGGAGCTTCCGCATTGATTTGGACATCCGCATCCGCAATAATCAATACGGAACTCATGCGGATGCGGATGTTAATGTGGTGCAAGTCGCGACAAGAAAGAAATTAGTTGGAGCCGACGAGTGACGCATAGCGACAGCATAGCGTGCACACGTGATGCATTGACCAATGGGAAGACAAGAATTCTACTTTCGGTGTTCCGTTTCGCACATCTGAACGTGTTTAGTCGGGGTTGCGCGAATTGTGAACGTTTTGTTTTTGTATGTTATTGGACAAGTGAATCTACAATGGCACCACCGATGCAAAGTGAGATTTGGACTTATTTTAAACCAGATGATGATCGAAATGAAGCTCAGTGTATAATATGTAATAAAACATATTCTCGCAAGGGTCGTACCACTTCGTCTTTGAAAAATCATCTGAAATCCATGCACCCAGAACAGTTTAGTTTGTTCGAAAGTTCGAATAACGAAAAACAAATGCAGAAGATGAAATCTGATGCACGTAAGTTTTACTATCAACAGTGTTTATTTATTAGCCTTAATAAAGCATTTTGCTTTTATTAATTACTAAGGGGGAGATTCTGGAAACTCTGATAAGTTGCAAATCGCTATCGAAACTGCAAATACAATGCAACAACAATACATGTTGCTATGGTTTTGAATTTGCAGATCCTTGCAAGGCCTTATCGAGTTTCGAGAATCTCCCCCTAAGTATATTATTCTTAATAGATTATCAGATAAGCTGCTTTAAGGAATTAATTAAAATTAACAGAAATGTTAACAGCAGATAAGGCCAAAGTTGGTTTATTTTGTATTTAAATAATACAAAAAAGTCGGTGCAATAAAAGTTTCGTTATTTAAAATCTATTTTGCATCCGTTTATTTTTGTTAATTTCCATAACAAGTTATAATTTATATGTGTATGTATTTTTAGATAAAATCCTCACTCCACTACAAGAAGCAAAGAAACAACTT